GCTGGGTGGTGTGGTGCATGCCTTTAATCCCAGCACTGGGGAGGTAGAGACTGGCGGATCTCTGTGAATTCGAGGCCAGCCTGGTCTACAGAGCTAGTTCCAGGATAGGCTCTAAAGTTACAGAGAAACCCTGTCTCGAAAAACAGAAACAAAAAACAAAACAAAAAAAAATTCACATGAGAGGAGATTCAGTTCAATGGGGGTTATTTCAAAATTGGCAAAGGAATAAATTAGGTTTGAGTCACAGAACTACATCCTATTTCTGCAGCACTGCTCATCTTAAAACATTTATATTGTATACTTAGGAGCCAGGCATGGTGGCACACACTTTTAATCCCAGCACTTGGGAAGCAGAGGCAGAGGAATCTCTGAGTTCTAAGACAGCCTGGTGTGCAGAGTGAGTTCCAGGACAGTCAAGGCTACATAGAGAAACCCTGTCACGGGGGGAGGGGGGGGAATCATACCCTTAGGAAGGAACAAAAACCTTAACTTGGTAAAAATCAGTTTAAGATACAGGTACTATGTAGACTGGAGTGTAAACAAAAATTATGACTTCTATCTCTCCTTTTAGCTAGAACTAGAAACAATCTCATAAATATACAGTGCTTCAAGTAAACTCACTATTTAGAGACAACCTATGAGAAAAATGTCAGAAATAGATTACCAGGTCTATGTATGTTTTCTTAAAGCAAATTATGCTGTTTCCTGAAATGCATGCTCCCATCACTGCCCCAGCCTCCAGAAGAGTAATAGTAAAATAAATTCTACAGACCACCCTAGTAATATTTTTTTCATCAGCACATCTGGTTGAATAACTAAAGTACACCATTTATGTAACAGGTCCTGATAAAGAAATCTTGTTTTAAGAGTTCTCAGGCTGGTGGTGGTGGCGGGTGGTGGGGTAGATGGGTGGTCTCAGTTATTACTTAAAACTATGGTATCAAAATAGTACCTGTGACTTTAAAAATAACCTTAACAATAAGAAGTCTGATTTGTACACCCTACTCATTCATACAAAGTTTTTATCCCCATATGAAATGATAAAAAGTAAACTTAATTTGCCATTGTTAGAGGACTCCAGAAATCTGACAGTCGCTTCTACATAAAACTAGCATTACTTTGCTGAGCAGTGGTGGCACACACTTTTAATCCCAGCACTTGGAAGGCAGAGACAGGGGAATCTCTGTGAGTCTGAGGCCAGCCTGGTCTACAAAGGAAGTCCAGGACAGCTAGGACTTTTACATAGAAAAACCCTGTCTTGGCGTGCGGGGGTGTGTGTGTGTGTGTGTGTGTGTGTGTGTGTGTGTGAAAAATATTACTTCATTTGAAATTACTAATTAGCCATCTACTGAAATTACAAATGCAGTACTTTAAAAAAAAATTTAAAGTTTTATGCAGGTAATCACAACTACTGTTTCCTTTAACATTTTGTGATACTGAGAACTAAACTTTAAGGATATTAAGCAAGTACTCTACTGAACTACATTCCCCAGCCCTTTCTTTTGAGATAGGGTCTTACTAAGCTGATCAGGTTGTCCTAAAACTTACTTTGTAGTCTAGACAGTCTTTGAACCTACGATCTTAGTGTTTCAGCCTCCCTCAGTAGCTAAAATTATAGGCCTGTGCTACCAGGCCCAACTTGTAATAGTTTTTAATACCTCACAAATGACTGGATCCTAACCATTTTAATTTTTGTTCTTTTTAACCTAAACCAAGTTATTTATTGCCCTATGATTTCAGGTCCTTATTTAATAAACAAGTAGGTAGGAAAGATAACCTATTTCATCCAATTTTGCATGTATTTATTCAAGTATGTGTGTGGGTATAGTGTCACAGCAAGAGTACAGGGGTCAGAGAACAACTTTCACAAGTTGGTGCTGGAGATTGAACTAACTGATAACAGGCTGAGTGGCAAGTGTCTTTACCTGATGAGCCATTTCCCAGAGCCCTTCTTCAAGTTTTCATACACTAAGATTTTTAAAGTCAGACATGGTGGTATATGCCAGTGCTAGGAAGGTAAAAACAGAAGTTTAAAGCTATCCTGGGCAATACAGCAAAACCTTTTCTCAAAACAAATAAAAAAACACTCAGATCTTTAACTTAATGGAACACAATTCTATTCCTGTCTTGCAAAAATAAAACTATATTCCAAGTATTCATTCAGGTTGGAGATATAGTTCAGTGGTAGAGTACATAATACCCTAGATTCAATTGCTAGTAATGGGGCAGTGGGGGAAACACTGATATTCAATGTAAAAGAGAGGTATTTTTTTTTCTTTCCAAAGCTTATCCTTAGGGTTATCCTTTAATTTGAACCCAAAGATAAAAGTTCAAAACATTGACCTACTAATACTTTGATCAAAAACAAAGCAAAAAACAAAATTAATGCCTGACTACCACTATAAAGTTCTCTTATACTAGAAGTCACATTTGTTTAATTTTTTTTAAATGAAAAATGAAAAATTTTCAGAAGCTTGGTTAAAAGGCATGAAAGTTCTGAAAACCAGGATTTCATTCTATAAGCTAAGATCCATTTGGTTCTGCTTCCAAATGGTGACTTGGATTAAAAATAATAGTCAAGTAAGGTTTTCCTTAGTTTGATTACACCCAGATCTAAATAAGAACTAAGTCCAAAAATTTAATATTTTGAGAAAAGCTGAGCTTTAAAATTATTGTTGTGACATTAGACAAATGGAATTTTTTATATTAGTTCCAAGTCAAAAAACTATCAGTCCGTAATGACAAAGGAAAACAAACAAACCACAGTCTGAGAAGTCCTTTTAAATGTGAAATAACTGAGTGCTGCTGAGTGCTATTTTATAGGGGTTGCCTAGCATGTAAAGGTACTGAGTTCAATCACCAGAACAACAACAACAACAACAACACACACACACACACACACACACACATTTTGTAAGTGAATAACTGAAACTAATAAACTTAACCCACAAAATTCTCAATACTTAACAAACACAGCACTTTAAAATGGGTGGCTGGGAAAGACCAGACTTGGTGGCTAATACCCATAATCCCAGCACTTAGGAGGTTGAAGCTTTAAATTGTTTGCTAGGCTGATCTACAGAGTGAATTTAAGTTAGCCTGAGCTGTCTCAAAAAAAAAAAAAAGTAAATAATAGTAATATTAAAAATAAAAAGTAGAAGCACACATTCATAAACGAGACTGTAATAGAAAAATTAAATACCAGGATCAGATCCTTGGCACAAAGTATCTTTCTGTAAATCAATTATATCTGAATTATTGGGTATGATCGGCCAGGGATATTTTGACAAATTTATTTTAAAAACACATGAATAGCTGGGTAGTAGTGGCCGATGCCTTTAATCCCAGCAGTGGCAGGCAGAGCTCTGTGAGTTCAAAGTCAGCCTGATCTACAGAGCTGGACAGAGTTCCAGGGCAGTCAGGGCTACAGAGAAACCCCATCTCAGGGGGAAAAAAAAATTATTTCCATTAGAGGAAATTTAAAGCAGTACATAGGGAAGTAGAGAGAAAAGCTTGATCAACTACTTTGCAGGGAACAATCACGTGCTGGTAATTGGTGAAGCTGGATGACTACTACATTCTCTTACCCTCACTAGATATTTAGAAGCAAATTCCAGACATTATTCCTTTCACATTTCATATGGCCTTGGGTCATTTAGAAACCAAGTTGTTTATTTACTAGTTCTTGGGTAAATGAAGTTCTGGGATTATTTCATTTTAATTTCCATATTATTCCAGTTTGGTCCATTGTTTTGACAAGAAATCATCAGTGACACTTTCATCTATGATATAGCTGAAATTCTGCTTCCACCATTAACACATGTTCATTTCCTGGCGAGAACAGCGCTAACAAACTGATATTTACATAGGTGCTTTCTAATACTCGTTATTACTTAAGTCAAGCAAACTAACCTAAATCTAGAATTCAGCTGCAATTTATTTATAAAATGAAAATTTCCCTATGAGATTAGGGAAAGTTTGGTTTTAAAATCCTTTATATCCCTGGCATTGTGGCACAAACTTGTAATTCTAGTACTCTGGAGGCTAAGGCAAGAGGGACCAACAATTTCAGGCCAGACTAGGCTATACTTTAGAATACTGTTAACAAAAACTTTTTATAATATAACAATGATGCAATAACACAATTTTCAAAGCACTTTGGCAATTTTGCATGGGCTTTTACTATTCACTACTGACTGAACAGGATGATGAACAGTGTCAGATCACGGGAGACACATGGATTAAGCATCTGTAGGTGATATAATAGTAGATCCATACAGTACCTTCCCAGTCCCAAAGCACCCTAAAATGGAAAGAATGTCTCACTATGCAGCCCAGATTGGTCTTGAAGTTGAGATTGTCCTGCCTCAGCCTCTGGAGCAGTTGGGACTTACAGGCATGTCCTGTATCACCTGGAAAGCATTTCTGTTTTATTTTTCACTAAATGTCTATGCTGCTATCAAGTAAGCTGTGTCTTAAGGCACAGGGTCTTATCTAACAACCTGATTTTAGAGATGGAAACACACAAGGCAATTTATTATTGCAGAGACTCGGATGAGACTGAAGTGCACACGGGAAAAAAAGGTTTGATATTTACTTAAAGTAAAAATTTTCCCCAAAGGTTGAGGATATATATAGCTCAGTGGGAAAGCGCTCGACCAGGCCCGGGATTCAATCCCCAGTTCATGAGGGTGTGAGGGAGAAACCCTTCCCCAATAATTAATTCCACGTTTCCAAAGACATTAAATACACAAGTTTGTACTTAAGTGACTTTCTCCTCAAGCCTGGTTGGAATTATTGGTGCCAAGAGGGATTGTTATCTTTTCCAAACACCTAACCACAAGTTCCACAATCTCCCAATTTCAACCTCTTCGGAAGCTGGTCTCCCCCTCCCACTCAGATTCAGAGAATTACAAGTAAAGAATGAACTCGATAAACTGGCTTAACCAAGCCAAATTAGGGATTCAAACGACCGAATATGAAAGGAGGTGGGGCATTACCTGCAATTCACACCAGGCGACTTCCACTGTGGTCTCGGTGTCCAGACCTTTGTAGACCGTCTTAAAGGACCCTCTGCCGATTTCGATATCAAATTTGAGGAAGCGCCCATCATTGGACATTCCCACGGCCTTGGTCTCCAGCTCTTCGTTGTCATCCTGTTGCTGGTGGCGTTCCTCCTGCAGCTCTTTAGCGCTGCCGCCGCCGCTGCCACTTCCACCTCTGGACCGCGGCTGCTCCTCTTTGCTCTCCACCAGGTTAGGCTGGGACACAGGGCGGTCTTGGCTGATAGTGCTGGGGACGGTCGTGGTGGCCGAGCCGACGACGGCTTGTTCCCCAGGGGAGGCAGCAGCTGAGGGCTGCTGAGACACTTGGGAAGCAACGGCGGCGGTCAAAGTTTCCTCTCGGTGAGGCTCGGGGGGAGCGCTCTGGGGCACCACTGCGGGCACGCTAGGCTGGGGGACAGAAAGGGGGAGGCCCGGCAGCTCCAGCGCGGTGGCATTCGAGTCGCAGATGACGCTCCGGCGGAAGAAGCGGTGCTCCGTGGGGGTGGTGGTGGCGGCCGCCCCACGGCTGTCCTTGTCCATAGTGTGACGGCGGCGCCGGTATTCCTCGGATCTGCCCATCCCGGAGTCGGCGACCGCGGCCCCCAGTTTCTCGCCCACGGAAGAATCGGAGCTTGAGCCATTCTTGGGGACTGGCGCCGGCGGCGAAAGGAAGCCCGGGGTGCCGCTCTGCTTCTCGGCGGCGCCGTCAGACATGGTCGGTCCGCTGAAGTCAAGAGTGCGGGCTCGGCTTCGTGAATGAAAAGGGGGAAAGGGGTAGCCCGGAAGAGCCACCAAGAAGTGCGGGGCAGCGCTCCGACGACTCCCGCTCAGCACTGACAAGACACCCCGAGGGCGACGTGGGACTCTGGGTCCGGCTGCGGCGGCTGCTGCTGCTGCTGCGGCTCACGGGGCGGGCTCGTCGGCGGGCGAGGCAGGAGCGGAGCCACGGGGGTTAGCGCCGCACAGTCCGCATCCATCCTGCAGAGAGCGGTGGCCGGTAGGGCTGTGGCAGCACCAGCGCCGCAGTCATGAGGGGCAGGGCGCGGGGCCGGCTCCCGGGCGAGCGGATGCGACGAAAGCCAAAGACGGCTAAGCTCCCGCCGCCGCCGCCGCCCGCCGAGCACGGCGGGATAGGCCC